TGTAATTTTCTATTTTTAGATTATTTGTAAGAACTGAAAATACATATCAGTTCGTAGGATTCCCGTGTAATTTTGACACCAAATTTTCCAACAATTTGTAGGTACCGACGATCAATAAGACGTAACTCGATTCGAGATGAACGGTTGATCGGTTCGAGGATTTGTGGCATAACAATTTAAAGTAGCTTCGTCCTTTCAAAATTCGGGCCAATGCTCAAGGATAATATTGGTATTCAAAATGTGTGAACCAATAAAGATAACCCGATATCAATCAATTATCAAAACCTAAACAATTAAAAAGAAACAAAAAAAAGGGGGATAAAATACACTGTGCATGTGGAATTGTGAATTGTGGACGTGATGGTCATCATCCTACATTTCAGTTTATGAAGAATATGGGGCTTTCGGTGGGATTGGATATTGTTTTTTAGTTTTTGGTTTTAAGTTTGTTTGTCCAAAATTCTATTCTTCGAGATTATAAAAATGGATTTTTAACAAATAAAATAATATCAAATGAATAAAGGTAACAATCATACAATTAGGTTGTTGAACGGAATTGACGGTTTGTGAACTCCGCTCGATTTGACTTATTAATCTAACGAGCTATACTCGAGATTATTAAGACCCGTCAATGCTCGAAAATATGACTTTTTATATAGGTTTTTATAGTTGGTTTATTGAAGCTCGAATTTAACTCGTTAATATATATTTTTTTTTCGGTACAAAGAAAGAGTTTAACTAAATTACGTCACTCGAGAGCTACAAACGTTCCTCTCATACGAAACTCCACTAATATCATGAGACAACCACTTCCTAACCCCATGAGATGGGTCATGAAAAACATGATATCCCAAGGCTCCTTCCGTCGCTAAGTAGGCCAAATAGTCGGCTGCGAAATTAGCTTCACGAAACGCATGGTGCACCTTAACCTGCCAAGGGCGACCCAAAAATTCTTTAATGCCCAAAATAAGAGTAGTGTGCACACCCGGCACCTCTTCTAAAGAAGATGAGAACTCCGCAACACTCGAATTATCAACTTCCGCCTCCACATTCCGAAACCCCAACTCCCATACTAAGCGTAGACCCTGATAAAAACCCCAAAGTTCTGCTCCCATGATCGAGCAAAATCCAATTTTGATAGTAAAACCACTAAGCCAGCGGCCTAGCTCGTCACGGATCAGGCCACCGGCACACCCCAAGCCCGACAGCCCATTAAAAGAACCGTCGGAGTTCATCTTGACCCATCCCGCCGAAGGCCTCTCCCACTTAATCCAACGCGGCACAACTCTCGTTAATATTTATTTACATCTTCAAAAACAATATACGTATTCCTAACAAAAAAATATAAAAAAAAATATTTTACGTAGACAATAAGCAAAATTGAGCGCATTGGCTGGGAAAATTGAAATTAAGTACATAATGTAGATTTTTAATGTTTATTTCTTTTAAATTTTCACGAAATATTAAAATTAATTATTATGTGTCAATTTCATTTGTATATATTTATCATTCGATATATACACATAATTGCGTGTTTTGAGCGCGTTTAAAATATTAGGGGACCCATTTTATTTTTGCATTGAAAATGGAATTTTGTAAATTTGAGAAATGATAATAAAATAAAATAAAATTAGGAAGATTCTCTGAGCTTCTGAGGGATAACATTAACTGAGGCAGGCAGTTTGACAGTTTCGCTATAGAGCCATTCGATGTTCTGCTTATAGAATCTTTCACAGTTATTCACACATCGTGTATTGACACGTGTCCTATAATAAATACACTTTAGACAAGTGCCAAAACATTAAGTGATTGATGACTTCATAAGAAAACCATCTGATTGTTCCATAGGATTTTTGGGCATTTTGATATCGACTCATATGTATAGCCATTTTTAACTGAGTTAAATTAAATATTCACATTAATTCCAAATTTGAAATTCAATTTGCAATATAGATTTTAGCCTATATATTAAACTAAATATATATATATATATATATATATATATATACATAGTAAATAATTATTGTTTTTCTTTTTTTCAAAAATAATTTTCAATTGAAAAAATCTATTTTAAAAAGGATTAACTTACATGAACCTATCCCCTTCAGCTAAAGAAACTTCTTTGTTCTTTCCTTTGTTTTGGTACCTTTTTGAACTTGTGGTCCAATCCTACTTCAAATTCCCCAGCTCAGTTGAAAAAAATGAAATTTAAATTTGAAAAAAATAATTTAGTGTTTTAATTTTATGGTGGGCATAAATTTCACAAAAAATGGGGCAAACACTAGTCAATTATGTCATACCAATTGTTTATGGTAGCCAACAACTTTTTCGGAGCTTGGCCCCCACTAATCCGTTGGTCGATCCAGGTCGCACACCTGACAAGGCTCCCAAGAAGAGTTTTTTGCATTCACAAGGACTCAAACTCGAGACTTTGCTTAAACGACATCAAGTTGATTAGCCTATTTTTAGTTTAAATACGATTAGCCTTGAAACGAGTTAATAACGTTAACGAACTAATTAATGTTAACCTTAATTTTCATTTATTCATTTCATTAAATCTTTCGAGTATGACACTCGTCTACTGCACGAGTTTCATGATCAAAAAATTATTTATTGAAAAAAAAAAAATTTGTATAAAAATTTTGAAATGTATTAACAAGAATTATAATAAAACAAAGCCAAAAGGCAGAAAAAAAAAATAAATAAATAAAATTAAAATGGGATTGGGCTTGAATTTCATGGAGGCCCACGAAAAAGAGTAATCTAAACTGTATAAACACACATATTGCGCCCATATGCGATAACTCGAAGCTGAATAATCTCCTATAGAAAACAAAATTTATATTCAATTAAATCAAAACTAAGGCATTTAATATAAAATGTTTGGGCCAATTTGCTGAAATTTGTATATTATAGATAAAATTTATAATATTATTATTTTAAAGGATAAAATACTTTGTCTCATCCGAACTATCACGGTTTTGGCGCATCACCATATAAACTATGTTTTTTTTACAAACCACCATATGAACTATCACGGGTTTGTCAATGTGCTCCCTAAACCACTTTTGGTTTAGGGAGCACATTGACAAACCAGTGATAGTTCATATGGTGGTTTGTAAAAGTATTTAGGGGGCACATATGGTGACCAAACAGCTTTTTCAGTCAAAACCACTTTTATATCTGGTTTAGGGGGCACATTAACAAACCCGTATAGTTCATATGGTGGTTTGTAAAAAAAAATAGCTTATATGGTGATGCGCCAAAACCGTGATAGTTCAGATGGAAAAAAATATTTTAGCCTATTTTAAACTATTATGTCAAATATGTATGGCTGCAAATGCGGCGAAATTTAAAATATTTTTAGGCTGAATAAAAAAAATATTGAATTAAAAAGTACAATTAATTAAAGATTGTATTAAAAATAAATATTTCTTAAATACTGCATATCACAAAGATTGTTATTATTAGTAGATTGTCATACTCAAAATAACAACATAAATAAAATTATATATATAAATTCACAAAATGTTAGATTCGTTTATTTAAATGAAGCTTTATTTTGAGATCTAATGGGATTTCATCTTTTAAACAGACTCCTATACAGTGTGGGCTCAAAGCCAATAGTGTGTAACTTTAGTTAAATAAAATTTTTGATTAAGATTAGGGAAAATACTTTTTCCCATCTGAATTATCACGTTTTTGACGCATCACCATATAAACTATTTTTTTTATAAACCACCATATGAACTATACGGGTTTGTCAATATGCCCCCTAAACCGGATATAAAAGTGGTTTAAGGGGCACATTGACAAACTAGTGATAGTTCATATGGTGGTTTGTAAAAGTATTTAGAGGCACATATAGTGACCAAACAGCTTTTTCAGTCAAAACCACTTTATATATATCTGGTTTAGGGGTACATTGACAACCTCGTATAGTTCATATGGTGTTTTGTAAAAATAATAGTTTGTATGGTAATGTGCCAAAACCGTGATAGTTCGAATGAGAAAAAGTATTTTATCCCTTAAGATTATTATCATCATTGTTGTTATCAAAAGAATTAAAAATTGGTTTAATTGTTATTGAATAGGCATAATAATAATAATAATAATAATAATAATAATAATAATAATAATAATAATAAGGAGAAATTTAAGGGGGAAAAAGAAAAAAGAAAAAACAAAAGAAAAAAATTAAAATTATTAGGTCCAAAATGGGGCCTCCACCAATTTTCCCCCTATAAATCGCCGCATCGTTCCTCATGCAATTCTCGCTCACTTTTCATCCACAAGCCTTCTTCATTCACTTTTTCTCTCTCACAGCCCCAAATCTCACAAACCCTAATCGCCGTTAGGTTTCCCTCATTTTCTCTGTGCCCAATCTCCTCTCATTCTAGCTCTTCTTAAATTTTCTGTTAATCTTCATGGTGGATTTCGTATCGATTCGCATCTGATTCGAATTTACAGGAAAAATTATCCCTTATTTGTTCTGAACATTATCTTCTTCTGAGGGGCAGGCGTGGGGATTTCGGGCTCCTGTAATCGAGCAAGTGGCCGCCGTGTTGTTGTGACCCAGATCCCTTTTTGCTTCTTTTGAGGGGGTAGCCGGGGCTCCGGCCTCGGCGGGTTTCAAAGCCCCCACCTGACACAACCATCAGAATTTTCAATTTCGAAGTTTTTTTTTTTTGTTCGCCCTAATAATCGTAACAATATCTTTTGTTAGATTTTCCCAGAATTCATTGATTCTTTTCCTTTTTTTCTTATCCTAACCAATCGTCGGGCAGAGATTTAGATCGGTTAAGAGATGCCTGCCTTTGGTTGTTTCGTGGACGCCACCGCCGTTTCTCCGCCTCCATCTCACGTCCCCTACGCTTTCTCCAGCTGGGACAGCACCCTCCACGCCGCCGGCGCCGCCTGGTCGCCCGCCCACTCGGCGTTGCTGTACCGGGTCGACGGCTGGGGCGCCCCCTATTTCACCGTCAACTCCAACGGCAACGTCTCCGTTCGTCCCTACGGCTCCGGCACCCTGTCCCACCAGGAGATCGATCTCCTCAAGGTCGTGAAGAAGGCCTCCGACCCCAAAGACTCGGGCGGACTCGGGCTACCTCTGCCGCTGATCGTCCGGTTCCCAGACGTCCTCAAAAACCGCCTCGAGTCCCTCCAATCCTCCTTCGACTTTGCTATCCAATCCCAGGGGTACGAGGCCCACTACCAGGGCGTCTATCCGGTGAAATGCAACCAGGACCGGTTCGTGGTGGAGGACATCGTCAGATTCGGCTCTAGCTTCAGGTTCGGGCTTGAAGCCGGGTCCAAGCCCGAGCTCCTCCTTGCCATGAGCTGCCTCTCCAACGGTGGAAGCCCCGAGTCCCTGCTCGTCTGCAACGGCTTCAAGGACGCCGAGTACATTTCCCTTGCCCTCCTCGGCCGCAAGCTCCACCTCAACACCGTCATCGTACTCGAGCAGGAAGAAGAGCTCGACACTGTCATCCGCATCAGCCGGAAGATCGGAGTCCGGCCCGTCATCGGCCTTCGTGCCAAGCTGAGAACCAAGCACTCCGGCCATTTTGGATCCACCTCAGGCGAGAAAGGTAAGTTCGGCCTCACCACCACCCAGATCCTCCGTGTCGTGAACAAGCTGAGGCATCACGAGATGCTCGACTGCCTTCAGCTTCTCCATTTCCACATCGGGTCCCAGATCCCATCCACGTCTCTCCTATCAGACGGTGTGGGCGAGGCTGCCCAGATCTACTGTGAGCTGGCCCGACTCGGGGCACGTATGACTGTAATTGACATAGGCGGTGGCTTAGGCATTGATTATGACGGCTCCAAGTCCCAAGAGTCTGACATATCAGTTGGATATACTCTCGATGAATATGCCTCAGCTGTTATTCGGGCTGTGAAGCTCGCTTGTGATGCTAAGGGCATTAAGCATCCCATCATTGCCAGTGAAAGCGGCCGGGCTATTGTCTCTCACCACTCTATTCTGGTTTTCGAAGCTACAGCTTCCTGTTCAAATTACGAGCCTCCCGAGATCTCGCCTATCGGGCTTGACTACTTTCTTGATCAGTTCACGGGCAGCGGTGAAGCCCTTGCCGACTACCAGAATCTATCTGCAGCCGCTGTCCAAGGTGACTACGATGCTTGTCTGCTTCACGCGGAGAAACTCAAACAATTTTGTGTCGAACAGTTCAAACAGGGATCTCTTGGAATGGAGCAGCTTGCCACTGTTGATGCTCTCTGTGAGTTGATTTCAAATGCAGTTGGCCTGTCGGACGATCAGCTCCACACTTACCATGTTAATGTCTCGGTTTTCACCTCAATCCCCGATTTCTGGGGCATAGGCCAGCTTTTCCCAATTATACCAATCCACAAGCTGGCCGAAAAGCCTACTGTCCGTGGGATTTTATCAGACTTAACTTGCGACAGTGATGGTAAAATCGACAGGTTCATCGGAGGCGAATCGAGCCTGCCTCTGCACAGCCTGGCGGGCCCTGGGGAAAGCCCGTACTATCTCGGGATGTTCTTGGGTGGAGCCTATGAGGAGGCTATTGGGGGCTTGCACAATCTTTTTGGTGGGCCTAGCGTGGTTCGTGTGTCTCAAAGCGACGGGCCTCATGGATTTGCAGTGACTCGGGCTGCTCCGGGTCCATCATGCGGGGATGTGCTTCGTGTGATGCAGCATGAGCCCGAGATCATGTTTCAGACATTGAAGCACCGTGCAGAGGAGTTTGTTGGGGACGAGGAAGATGGCGTCTTGGGGATTGCTAACGGGCTTGCTTGTTCGTTTAACAATACCCCTTATTTATCGACAGGTGTCCTAACCTCGTTGGTTGCAGGTCATGACGGGTATTATTATGGGTGCAAAGATGAAGGGTTTGTGTTGTCGGGTGGTGGTGATGCTGTTGTTGGTGCTGAGGAAGAGCAGTGGTCTTATTGCGTGGCTTGAGCGAGTCTTTGGTTGTGTTGAGACTTTAGAGGAAGCTAAAATTAGCGGCCCATCTGGAAAAAAAAAAATGATTGTGGTTTTTTAGCTTCTGGTTGGTATCTCTTTTTTTTCAGTCTTTTTTCTTGTTTATGCTTCGTGTGGTTTGATTAATGTCCAGACTGTTGTGGAATGTGGAGTTGGTTCCATGTTTTTTATCAAGTTGTTGTTCATTTCTCTGTTGTTTTTTAAGTTCGATGGTGATGAACAATAATCGTAAGATGCAGGAGTTTTGAGTCCTTTTGGTTAGTGTTTCGAACCGGGCGGGCCGGGTTGGGTCGGATGTAAAATGGGTGCTCAAAACCATCCCCCTCTTGCTATGTTTTATTGTATTTTGCAATGCTATTAGTCTTACCTTTGTTTTTCAGTCTCGGTCTGGTGGAGGTTTATTGTGATTGTTGTGGTTGTTTTCTCTTGATCTGATTTCATGTTCTTGTTTGGGAGATTTTGAACGAATGCAAAAGTACGTTAGTCTAACCGTTAGTCTAACCGTTAGGTCTGTCTAACATCAACATTCGTCGCAAACAAATGAGTGTTTTGTTATGTATTGCTATTGGTGGTGGTCCTTTTGAATTGTTCTCCTTTTCTTTGCATCTCAATGCATTACTTTCCGTGTTGCAATAAATCAACGTAAAGCAATTTTTCTATTTTCTTTATTTAAAAGAAGTAAAAAAAAAAGTTGGTTATGTGATAGATTCTATGTATATCATTGAATGATTATAGCGTGGTGGTTATAAATCCCTGTCTTATTCTACAACTGTTTTTATGTGCTGTTGCATGAGAGGTGTGTGGCTATAATTGATTTAGACTAGTGATGATATGATTGCATATAAAAAATTCCAACTTTTTATTAGAATTATTTTTTTAACTCAATTTTACTCGTCGATATTATCAATATAATTAAATAATATTAACCATTTATACACACCAAACCAACTTTAATTCACTATTTATTCACTCACATTATTTTAAATAACTATCATTTCAAATTATCTTAAATACTTTTCTATCAAATCAATTTTAATTATTTAATTTCAAAAATTATTTGCAATATATACTAACATATAACAATACCAATTTTTTTTTTTGTAATTAATTAAACCAAACCCAAAAAATCTCAACAAGACCAAAATTTTTTATATCCAAACATGGATAACCTTTGAAAATGCAAAAAAATTCTCTTCCTTTGAGATATTTGAGATTTGCTTGCATCTTTCTGTCTTTATATCTCATATTTTTGTAAGAGACCGCTCAATCGCTAATCGTTTTAACACCAATCACTTTTTTAAACGAAACTAAATTTTTACTATGTGTCTTCTTTTTATTTATGTACAAATTCTTCTGTGAAGCAGTCTAACCGTTAGAACGAGTCGACCCGTCGTACTTTTGTAAAAAAAAAAAAAAATTACATACTTTATGCTAAGAAATTACATATTTATGTTAAATTGTTGAAAGTGAGGGCAGTTTTTGTATTTTGTAATTAGACCAGACTATAGGGTTGCTTTTGTAAATTGTGTCTATCCCATTTCATAGCTTGTGAACTTTCATCTTTGTCTGATGTCTGTTGTTCCATGTCCTGTAATTGATTCAGACCCATACTAAACACGTGTTTGTGAGCCAAGTTGTGATTGTACATTACTTAGGTGGATACAAAATTTATGGCTCTTGGTGTCACTTTCATACATTTTTTTTTATCTAGGCATTAATTTGCTTGGATTAGATTTTTTTGCAGAAATGGTCCTCTAAGTAGTGACTCAGGAAAATGGTGAGACCATGAATAAAAAGGACCACAAGTGATATTAACAAGAGTACTTGCAGACTCTACAAAGCATCCTTCTAATCGTAAAAGATGCTTTCTTTTTTTTGGAAATTCTACACGACGAATGTGATCTAGTATGTGGATCAATAGAGTTCGTAAACAAACTGAGCTGTCTGTGGGCTCGGTTTGGCTCGACTTGTTAAGGTTTGAATTTGGTCGTTCGATAAACAAGCTAACCTCGAACTCGTTTAACCGTTCATTTAATTAATTAGTCGAGACTCGATCACTCGAGTAATAAGGGCGTTTATGTATTTTGTTGAACTATTAGGTTAGTTCGACTTGTTAAAGCTTAAGTTCGGTTTGTTACTTTTGATAACAGGCTCGATTTGTTATTGGGTTGTACTCGACTCGAGCAGGGGCGGATTCAGAAATTTTGTTGAGCGTGGGACTAAAACTATGTTCGAGAGACGACACTGTCTGAAAAAAAAAACGTAATTTTCATTTTTTTTATAATTGATTTCTAAAAAAAAATAGATTATGATTTTCAAACTCATAAATACAAATAAGTTCTTATACTCAAAATCTTTTACAAACTGAAACTATTGTCGAATTTAAGTGTGTTATAGCATGAACCTTAGAATATATTATAGAGATAATAATAAATTAGAATCATAATGTTGTTACTATATTTACAAAAAGAAATTGGATCGAACGGGTTGGAGTTGAAATCAATCAGTTGATATTTTGGTTTGAACTGGTAAAAAAAGGTCAAAATTGGCCAATTGGATTGATTCATTTTTTTTTCACTACTTAAAAACTAAAGGGGTGATTGTTTACAAAATAATTTACTCACTTTTATTTCAACTCAAAAATTAACTCAACTTTAACTCAACCCCACTATTTTTAATATTATTCATATAATTAAATAATACAAACAAATCATTCTTACACATCACATCAACTTTAATTTACTATTCATCCACTCACATAATTTTAACTACCTATCATTTCCAATCATTTCCAATCATTTATCTTTTACTTTTACATCAAATCAATTTTAATTATTTTATTTTAAATATTATTTTAAAACATTCTTAAAATTTTACTACAACTAACCATACCACCTTTTTTAAAATTAACTATAGTTTAACCAAAATAATTCAACTTGAACAAATTATTTCATAAACAATCAAGCCCTTAGGTTTTGATGATTTAAATATATTTCTCAAATAAATAAAAATAATTATGTAAATATTAAATATCTATAAATTATTATATTGATTAGTTTAGACATTTGAGTATTTTAAATTATCTATATGTTTAATTAAGAATAATTTTATATAAAAAGTTGATTATTCTATGTAATATATATTTATAAATATTAATATATTAAATACCAATTCAAGTATTGATCAATGAACTTGTAGCTTGATAAAGTTTGGCTGTTAACTCATTAACGAATAAATATATAAGAAAATAGAAGTATTTATGAAGTGAATAAAAAAATAAAACCCAATGCACTTAAATGGTTGGAAACAAGTAAAAGAGATATCTATAACTTTTTATTTATATTCATTTTCCTTGTATAGTTTTGTCTGTTTAGGATTGGTGCATTATAATTATCGAATTTTACATCGAATATAAATTTTTGACCCAAAAGTTGAGTGAGGGCCTTGGCCCCCACTGGACCCATTATGGATCCGCCCCTGGACTCGAGTCGATTGGCTCTATTCAGAACTTGAGTATCAGGAGCTCGACCTCTAGTTTAAATATGAGGAGCTCATTTATAAATATGTCCATCAATCTAGTTTTATTTGTTTTACTTAGGCCTTGTTTCGTAATTAGCGGTTAGCTGATAGCTGTTAGCTGATTGCATTAGCTGTTTTGACCAGCGGATTGCGTTAGCTGTTTTGACCAGATGATTGTGTTAGCGGTCTGTAAAAGAATGTTTGATAAAATTAGCTATTTCTAATTAGTTGTTAACATGTAAAATTACTTATAAGGACATTAACATAATTTATCATTCTTATTTGTGTTGAACTTATAATTATTTAGAGAATAAAAATAATTAATATTTAAATATTTATTGAAGTGATTTAAAATATAATAACATATAAATAATAATAAAAAAATATTTCTTAACATAGTAAATAAGTTCATCTCATATAAAGAAACTTAATAATAAGTCATCACTATTTAAAATCAATAAATAAATAATATCTAAGTAACTAAAATTTACATTAACAATTTTCTAAAAAGTTCCCATTTACATCTAAGTAACTAAAATTATATGTTTAAAACTAGTTGGAATTAGTTGGAATTACATTTATAAATATTTTTGTTAAGTATTATACTAAAATTAGTTGGAATTACATTTATAAATATTTTTCTTATGTTCATTAGTTATGATTTAAAAAAAAAAAAAATATTATTTATATTTTTAAATATGAAAATATGATATAATATTTTATTGCTGTAGGTTTGGATAAGAAGTACAAGCAGTGAACAAGTTTTGATTTAAAAAGATTTTTTTTTTGTAATTGTGCGTGTGGTATAAATGTGGGCAAGTAAGACTTTTTATTTTGCTTTCTTGAACCGCCAATATCAAACGCTAGCAAAAGTAGTGTTTTCCACATTAGCGGAATGGGCCAAAAAAACTAATTGTAGAAGTTGTTTACCAAATACTTTTTTTAGCTGATTGTAAAAAGTCAAACAGATAATAGATAAAAAAACTCTTTTTTGGCTAAAAAGCCATTAAACAAATGCAGCCTTAGTCTATTACTCTATTGTGACATTATAAGTTCGGCCTTAGAAATTCAATATGCCTTGGAATTTTGAATCAACTTCAAGATTCTACTTATTATTTTTTTTTTTTTTTTTTTTGGTACAAGGACCTTCCGGTTTTCAGATCCACATGGGAACCGACTAATCCAGAATCGAGCCGGGTAGGACCACAAGGGCGGCAAAGCTCTCCCTCAAGAGTTTTAACACTGTTGCATTCTCATGGCTCGAACATGAGACCATTGATTAAGTTGGAAGAGACCTAAACTATCTCATCCAAGTGTTCTTGGGTTATTACTTTCATTTTTTAAATATAGGAAAAGAATTTGTGTAACCTATACTTTTACCATTTTTCTCTCTTTTATATATGCTCATGACACCTTTTTTTTTTTTTTNTTTTTTTTTTTTTTTTTTTTTAAGATAT